AAGTTATTATATTAATTTTACTATAAAGTAGATATAATACTTATATTTTATAGGAAGTACTCTAAAGAGGTTTATATTAATATCTCTTATAATAGTAATAATTACTTCTCTAGATAGATACCTTAGATAAGTATAAAAAGTTTAGTAATTTAGTTTAAGAGAGCTAAATTTATTATTTTAGTTAGAAGGATAGATCTAAAACTAAGGGACTTATATATCTTATTTAAAATTAGTAATAGTTTTAGATATATCTTTATAAATTAGGGTATTATCTAAACTATTAAAATAGATACCTATCTTCTAAAGAAGACTAATATTAATAATTTATACTATATTATAAGGTTTATAGAGGGTACTATATAGTTAGAAAGTAGTCTTTTTACTACTTAGTTTAATAGTAATTACTTTAGTTATACTAATAGTTTAGCTAATTTAGTCCTTTCTATCTATATAGTTTATAGTTAATCTTTAAGAGAGATCTTAAAGTTCCTTAAAAATAGAGAGATTATTAAGAATATATCTATTAGTATTAGTATTTAGTATAAAGAAGTTTATCCTCCTAATTAAGGTTATAGATATAATATATTAACTTAGTTATACTTCTTAGTTATTATTTTCTTTTTTATTAACTTCCTTAATAGTATTATATATAAAGAAACTATTAATCTCTATATCTATAGCTTAATTAGTAAAACTATAACTAGAGTATATAGATTCCTTTATTAGTTACTTCCTAACTCCCTATATATATATAATTTTATATAGATCTTTAGCTAGGGGTTAAAGGTTAAAGTATAGACTAAATACTCTAAAATCTTCTATTAGGAATAGTAGAAAGGTCTTCTTCTAAGCTTAAACTAATAAGGTATCTATAAAAGCTTTAGATTATTAGTTAATATCTTATTTAATACTAAAGTTTCTAAAAATACTATCTTAAGTTTAGTTTTCTAAAGTAAATACTAAAATAGATACCTATATTATTAATTACTAAGTTATTAATAGTTTATTAGTATACTTAAACTTATTATATACTAAAGTATAATACTTATAATATCTAAGGGAATAATTATTATACTTATCTAGGTATAATATTATCTTTTTATAGTAATAGTTATATATCTTATATCTATAGAGAGTTTTAGGATACTTAATATTATAGGAAATATATAAATTTTATAGTTTTATACTTTTAGATTTAGGAACTTAAGTTTACCTCTTTATAGTAAACTTCTTCTTATTTAATAGAGCTTTAATACCTTAAGAGGTTTACTTATATTATTCCTTTTCACTTAGGCCTCTAAGTTCTTATAAGAAGTTATTATAGTTTTAAATCCCTATAATAAAGTTATTCTCTATAGAGTTTACTTTAACTTAATTAAAATATCTAAAACCTTAGATAAATTTATAAGTAAGAGCTATAGTTAATAAGCCTATATTAAAACTATTTAGTTTATTAAAAGTTAAGTAAAGATCTTATATAAAATCCTTAGTATTACTATAGTTAATTCTAGTTATTCTATTCTAGTTATTATAGATTTTATTTATAGCTAGCTTATTAAACTTTTAGGTATATTCTTTAGTCTTAATAAAGATATAGAAAACTAAAACTATAATAGAAAAACTATTATTAATTATTTCTTCTAAAAGATTATATTAGATCTTCTCTATAAGTAACTATTTAGTAAGTATAAAACCTATAAGTATTAGATTACCTAAAGAGCTTAGATCTTTAACTACTATTACTTTATCTTCTTTAAAGATTATATCTCTATTATATCTAACTAATATCCTTTTAATTATTAAGTAGAAGAATAATTTTATTACTTTAAAGGTATTCTTAAGATTAATCTCTTATAACTTAAAATTTATAGCTTTAATTAGTTTAAGGATAGTATTATATACTAAACTTCTTAGATTTAGTCCCTTATTAGCTACTTTCTATATAGTTACTTTAGTTATAAAGTCTATAGTAGAAGAAGGGGGAGAGCTAGTTTAAAATAATCCCCTTTTAATAGAACTAAAAGAAAATAAAGTTAGATTACTAGTTAAAGATATATTAATTTATTTAATTAATTTAATAGTTTAAGAGAGGTTTAAGAAGTAGTTATAAGTAATTATTAGATATTTATTAAATAGTTATTACTATATAACTATAGTAATTATTAAATAATTATTAACTTTAATAACTTAAGAGCTAAGGAGATTTTATAAGTAGGGGATATATATTATAATAACTATAACCTCTACTTAGAAGTATTATTTCTAATAACTTAGTAATTTATTAATTACTTTATAGTAATTATTAGACTATAAAGTTAGAATCTTAATAGTTACTTAGGAATAACTTTACTATTTAATAGATAGATTTAGGTATTTAGAGGACTTATAACTTATATAAAGTAGCTTAATTAATCTAGTTATAAATACTAAGTATACCTAGTTATAAAGTAGTATAGCTAACCCCTTATATAAAGGCGGGATTCAGGCCGGGATTCAGGCCTCAGGCCCAGGCCCAGCTGACTACCATCTCACACTAGCAAACTGTTGTTCAGCGTCATCAGCAGACCTATCAACAAACTCCCAGCCAGCAAAATCTCCACCCTCTTTCTTGGCCACGCCAACAGCCTGCTATTCACCTGTATTTCCAGGATCCCTTTGGCCAGCTGCGTTCACAAACTCTCTCCCAGCTGCGCCAAGACTGTCCTCCACAGCCGCGTGATAACCGAGCGCCCCAGCAGCGCCAGCAACCACTTGGCCTGCAGCAACAACATCCCTTTGGTCAACAAGTTCAACATCCACATTTCGTAGAGCAGGAGCCATCTCCACTCATCGAAACTACGAGCAGACCATCCTCTGTATCGTCTCCTTCTGCTCAGCGAGACCCCGCTCCCAAGTTGCCGTTCCTGGGCACTCGCACGGCAGCCTGGGTCGAGGATGCCACAAGCCCCGAGCTCCCATCCAGAAGCCCGCCGATCCCCAAGACTTCGAGCTACTTCCTCGTGTCGACGAGTTCCAGGCCATCTTCATCCAATTTCCCATCCGCGGCTTCACGCGCTCGGCGTGTGATCCCAATGATATCTCTCCCGCCACTGGTCCTTTTACTCACTCTTCCTTCTCGTCCTACTGCTCAAGCCCAACGCCTCTCTACTACTCTCTTCAACCGCCCCTCCACGCTTGCAAAAGCTTCAGGAGCGGCATCCCGAAACGCCCAATAGCGTCAGCCCACGTTCGAGGATAGCCTCAAGAGCTATGAAAAGTGTTAGCGAGAGATAATTCAGACCGAAATGGAGTAACATGAATTTCAGAAAGCCGTGGTCAATAAGCTGGCATATTGCGAGGACCTGGACAGCGTGTGGGCCTGGGAGAATGCCTGTCTGAAGACGCCGCCAACAGACGTAGGCAGCTGCATCACGAGTCTGCCAAGATTGAGCCCATTCTTGCAACTTGTGACATTTTTAACGGCCGTCTCATTCCCTCGTCCCTATGACATGGAAGTCTCGCGAAGGGTCTTTCCACATTTCTTCCCCTATTTCAGCTGATTATCACATCGCGTCACCCACCGGGCCCTCGTCTATTTATTCTGATGTCCGTCCATCTGGACCTGGTTCATCAAAAGACAGGACATCATCCAGCGATATTCGGTTCTTTCTTTTGATACTCCGAGACCAATCACCACGTTGCTGCACATTCCGATGGCTCCTCCTAAGTCTCCGTCGAAATCTACCGACAGATCCCCGCATCCACCCCAAAGGCCGTCCAGAAGGGTGCAGTTTGCTCCTTGGTACTCTTCCCCCCGGGTCATCTGTTTTGTCGACAAGCATGCATTCCAATTGATCGGCTTTATCGGCTGTATTGTTGGAATTTCTCCCCCTCACCCGCAAGCCAAACCAAGTCAGCAGCCACTCCTGGCTCCCCCTTCCACGGACTCAAGATGCGCAGCCCACCGGTCTTCGTTTCGTCTGCAATTTAATCTGGTGTCTCCAAACCTCTCCGTCCTCCACCCCTCACGAACTTTCCCATCCCTCCGCCTCGATCCGACGAAGCCGCCGTTTGATTAGCCGGAAATGATGACCCACGAATGGCGTCCTTCGCATCGCGCAGCCGGCGACAAAGTCAAAAATGCGTGGTTCTCGAGCCTTCATGATGGCGTGATGGGAAGCCGAGGCAACGAGGAGCAGGTCGCTATCTTGAAAGGCAAGATTCTTGACGGCGACCGCGATGGCAGGGACTTCGGGTTGGTGCATGCTGTTGTTATGATACTGTGGGAAGATGGGAAGAGATGCACGTACGTGGATCACGTTTATCCGGTGATGTACTGGTCTAAGAAGTTGGTGCCGTCATGGAAGAAAGATCTTCTGAAGGGTTGTCTGTTGGAGCAAGTAGACAGCTTAGGCTTGAAATGGTCCGGTGGTTGCGGAGGTAGTCTGTGTAGATAGAGAATAAAGCATAGTTCGTGTCCGCGAATCGAGGACAAGGCCATCATCGTCTTTCGGCCAAAACCTGTATGGCTGAGTTTGGTGTGTGATGACCTCGCTAATGTCGCAAGTCTCTGGGTCTTGAGGATGAAACGATGGATATTTGCGTTGAAATCAGTGGGAGGAATTGAATTTTTTGGCTTGGGGTTTGAGGTCTGAAGATAGTGGCAGTCAAAATTTCACGCAGTCCAAGTGGCATTAGTTGCTGCATATGACGTTGTGCCAAAAGATAATAGCAGCACGGCCACATTGTTTTATGCCGCTCCTGCCATGAACGAGTGCCTGCCAGGAAAATCAAACAGCAGCTTCAGCAGGGTTCCTTCCCAGCGAAATCCATAATGAACGCACAGAGACATGGGATGACAGCGACACCCTGTCTCTTGCCGCCGAATAGCACCTCCTGATGTTCAGTGACAGTCAACCTCCGTTCTGAGACAACAACGTCCCATCTGCATCCCTGAAGCTGTAATTGGCAAACGACCCGATTTATCCGCGCTAAATCCCTACTTGAACCTAATCATCATCATGGTGCAAACACGCTCCGGAAAGCAGACACAGAAGAACGTCCGAAGAGCACCCGTCGTGGCATTCGACGATGCTCAGATCACGAGCATGATTCCCAACCAGCCAGCCCGTCCCAAGGCGGAAACGAGGCCCTTGGGCAGACACCCAGCCGATTGCACTATTGATTTGAGGAATTTATCCGCGGCGCTCCGAACGATGGATCTCCAGAACACCAAGTCATTTTTGGGGGAGGGAACCCCAGACGATACCACCGCAGCATCTTCCCAGCCCTTGGACAACATCCCGTCGCTTTTCGACGACACTAGCTACTTGGCGCCTGATTTCAACCCTACCACCCTTAAGATACCAACGCTCCGCAATGTTCTTCTACGCCACAACATCCCGTATTCGCCTACGCAGACCAAAAGTGTCCTTATCGAAATTTTTATAAGTGAAATTCAGCCTCGGGCGGCTGCAACTTTGGCAGCGATGGCTAAGGTGCAGAGGGACGAGAAGGGCATCGTGGATGTTAGCAATAACTGATTACTACTAATGGAGGGGGATCCATCGATATGCGTCAGGACGGCTGGTAGGGTGTTGCAGTGGTATTATTGGACTGATTCTTTGTATAATTTTTCACAATCAAGACGGCTCATTGGCATACCATTCACTTTAATCAAGCCTGTGGTCTTACAGTTATCCAGAGTCACAGCGTTCGTCTTCGGTCTTCAAGGGCGTTTGTCGTCTTGCCCGAGGCCAGACGCGCGCGTACCCGGGCCACCCCGAGATCGAGCTCGCCCTGCTGCGCTTCCACTCCGCCACCAGCAGCCGCAACACCTACGACCTCGCGTACTTCTTCCTCGAGGAGCGCAGCAATCCGCGCAGCCAGGACGGCAAGCACTTCTACGACTGGGAGGCCGCGGTGCGCCGCGACGACGAGCCGCGCTAGAAGCGCCCCAACTCGTAGCCCATAGACCGCTCCTTCTGGTACTGCCAGGCCCACGCGCCGATCCTGCAGCAGAAGACCGTCGAGGGCCACGCCGTGCGCGCCATGTACCTCCTCACCATGAACTCAATAATCCGGTGACAAGCTGTGCTTACAACCATATGAGGACAATATAATGTAAGCTACGGCTGAGAGGTCAGTCTCCCTCTTCCTCCAACTTGGACCATCCTTGTCTTTCCATGTCGACCCTTTCTGGAATAGAAAGCAGGGAGCCCTCCAGAGGCAAGGACCAGCACTGACGGTGTTGAATCCTGACGTCTGCCATGCGGTGCTTTCTTCCCCAGCAGATAAATCGAGAGCCGCGATAACCCATCATCGAAATTCAGCACCAATTTTAAAACGACTTGTGTGTATTTGAAGTGGCGTTTGGGAGCAAACGTGGTTCAGATTTAGGTCTGGGGACAGCGGATCCCAGGAACAATCAAGACCAAAAATCTCAAGATTACCCTTCAGTGGCTGCCTTCTGGATTGTCTTTCTTCCCAGCAATTTGACCACGCCTAGAAACAAGACCGGGGATGTGGCGGACATGATGCCTTCTTCTGCTCCCAGATGTCGAGGGAGGTGCAGTGAAGCGCAGTCACGAGCGTCCGAGTAGTCGATATTGACTGCGTATGTGCAGCCAGGACATTACCTCATCGCTGCTTAATGATGTACTATGCAAGTTCTCCGACACTGATTGATTCCGTTTCTCTTGCGAGTTGTTGATCTGAAAATGTAAGAGAAGTGGGAGCGGATGAACAGTTTACCCCGCATGGATGTTACTTAGAAGTCGTTGAGACGATGAGATCCTGCTGGCAGAAGAATTGCTCAGACGCAACGGCAATGGGATCAGGGCAGTGACGGAATTGGCATGAACCGAGAGCTTTGTTACAATGGCATCTTCAGTGTTCAGGCTCAAAGATGCATGACAATATCCACGCCGGGGCAGACCCAACTGCCCCAAGCCAGGGGGTATTTTCGCCTCGGGAGAGCACCAGAACTTCTACCAATCTAACTTTCTAGTCGATTCATCGTGTGAAGTTTAAGCCCTTATGTATTCTTGTGCGTGCGTCCACTTTCCAGATCGGCATTAGCGATCAAAGCACCGAGACCTGAGAGCCCATCTCGACGGGTGTAGGGCCCTGAGTAGTAGAGATACCTTCAACCGGTTCTTCGGCTACAACTGTGTTTTCAGACATTCCGCGATTGAGGCTTTTATTTCATGGTTTGAATCTCTTACTTCAATAAAGTCCCCACTGCGATGGCTTAGTAGCTGTCCTTCGTGTAGCACGCAGTACTTTTTCGTGATAGCCTTCTAAACGGGTGCTGGGACTGTCTTCCGCTGCCAACAACATCGACTAGAGTTTAGAGACTTGCGGGTGATGCTTGCTCGTTTTCATGGACAGAGCTTCAAGTCAGGGGGTTTGTTTCATGCAAGAGACTTGCCAGATACTACGTCTGGCTTGAAATCCAACATTCAATTTACCCTTCAGCCGGATTTTCAGCGCGCATTGCAATACTGGAGCCCACCATAACCCTCCTATACCGGCATTCATCAAATGCGTGTGACGTCTCAGTCGAGTGAAGCCTAAAGAAAGCACCCGAGAGGTCGATTTCTAAGGTGTAACTCACTGAGTCTCACTTCCTGCCATCTGCTATCCTCTGACACAAATCTCAGTCATGTCCAACCTGCCATTCTTTTCCTGCACAATTCCACGACCGCCCAGCATTGAGTATTAAAATGGCCATATCAGATCCTTGAGGCAATGAACAAGACCCACGCCAAACCTTTGTCAGTAATAAAAGCAGGGTTTCTCCAGCGCTTGGACTCAGATCTTTAAGGTCTCGGGCATAACCAGGAACATGATTTCCAGCCCTGATCATGAGACTTGTTGCGTTGCTCTAGTGAATCAAACGGCTTGTTGCGCATCTACAATGTATTATGATAGAACTGAGCCTCTCGAGCAAGTATGGTGAGGTGAACTTTTCCTCGCTCCCTTCATGAGCACGGTGCGATTCGCCGTCCTTGCCATAAGCACCTGGCAGCTTCGTCTCGAATTCCGGCGTGGCTTCGTTTGATTGCCCAGTACGTTTCCCCATACGGAGATTACTTTCGAGTAATCTCGTTGAGAATAGCCCCTCTGGTAATTGGTTCTTCTCGGAGCCGGCGCAAGGTATTATTTTACATCGGCATAGGTCTAACCCTTCTGTGCCAATATAAGGGACAATAACATCACTTTTGGCAACACCAATTGAACGGATATACCTGATTTAACGCAGATCTCAACGTTCCTGACCATTCTTTCCCTGCTTACGGAACACCTTCACTCGCAATTCTCCAGTCTTTTGCAAACTTTGGGCATATGTGCAGTGGTGTTTTGGCGCTTCAGCGGGAGGTGATGCTGACGGTGACTCCAGTGGGATGGCAGGCACAGTGTTGACATTGACTCCATTGACTGGAAGCGACTCCACTTCAGTGTGTTCACTGCCAGCGACGCATGGCTACGACAACTGGTGCACCAATGTGGCGCGATACGTACCGCCACAGCTGAGCCGGCAGCCTTTATGCCAAATACCTCAATCGCCGCCTTTCGATCCTGTTCTCTGTTTCAAAGCGCTGTGGTCCCATACTATACCTCTGATCAATATTCTTATCCGCCTTGAGTTCTAGTGGCCTGTCTTACTGTATCGCCGAGGTTTCGTTCATTCCGGTTTGCCTCCCGCACGTGAGGAAGGGTGAAAGAAGATGAGAAAGAGCGGATGACAGAAGGATGGACAGATAACATAGAGATGCGACTTCTGTACTTGGAAGCATTCAGGGGGATGCTAATTGATCAAATGCCTGTAGTTGCGCCCAGTGGGCTACAAGATGTGAAGTTGTTGCAAGGCTAAGTGAGCCTCTGCTGATTGAATAAATTCCTGTGGCATCCCGCGCCAGAATGGTAGTACACAGCCCCATAGGAAGGCTGAGGACTGGACAACTTTCAGGAGACAAGTAGATAGCTCGAAAAGTCCAAACCCCGACAGTCAATGATTGGCGTGAACAGCTACAAGGGTTGGATGAAGCCGTCATATGGACATGCTTGAACGCTCATAGTCTTGCCTAACACGGCCAAAGCATCGATGCAGAATCCGGAATGGAGAAGCCTGTAGACAAAAGACTCAGGTCCGAAGATGTAGTCCGAGAGACTGAGCCCTGGAATATCAGACCTTCAAGACGCCGATTCCAGGCCATACGTACTCAAGCAGGTCTCGAACACCGTACACGATCTGAAAGGGAGCAAATCTACCGGAACACTGCCATCCCTTAGCACCCGAGCATGTACCGGAGCCCTTCAGTCTTCGCGCTGGAGCAACCGGCACGCGAGCCTGAGGAGGAGTTTGCCATGATACATGGTTTGTTTAATGGAAAATGGCAGTAGAGCGACTCTCTTTGTCCGTTAGTTGGACTGATCAGAACTCAGCTTGTCACACACGCTGGAACGTACATCGTTGGCTGTCTCAAGTCACCACAACGCCTGGCATAAGTTTGCCGGGATGCGCACAGCCTGAGAGCCGAGCGATGGTGAGCCGTGGGATATCGAGCGGTATATTTGCATAAGTAGCTGAAGGCCATCGATAAATACCAACAAGGAGATGCGTAAGGAGTCTGTTCCGTACTTTCGAGAGAAGGTCAACCATGAAACTCTCACTAGTCTTCCTGGTATGGTTGAAGAAACCCTAAAATGGGCAGTTTAAAGACCAAGTCTGATGCTTTTGTCTAAATCGTGGATGCGAATGAGTTTCCGGAGTTCTGACTACTGTCATCTCCCACGCATTTCTATATTGTCTCTGCATCTTCTGCAGTAAACTGCGATCCCTCTTCATCATACGATGTTGGAATGGAGAACAGACAAGAACTACCATTAAGCCTACTTCCTTCCCAATTCCGACGTACGCAAAAACAGGAGATATTTGTGACAATATTGGAAATTCTTTAACTCTCGGTTCCTACTGAATCTTGTCTTCGTTCATGATGCAGCCTTTTTTATTCACCCAGCCGCTATTCATGCCGCTAATTCGGTCATCGTCAGCCTCGGGGTCACCTTGAGAGATTATCATAGTGGTGCCATTATATCGGCTGAGTAGGTATCTCAGGCCGCTGAGACCACGCATCAGCTGAAGCGGGCGAAGCATAGTCAGCTTTTTCTGCGACAACAAGTTCGTTATTTTAGTCATGGTCTTCATTCGTCCGAGACGACTGTCTACGATTGCTCTCGGGATGTTTTCGCTTACGGTGAGCCTTCTGCATGATTACACGTGTTACAAGGGAAAGTAGAGTGGTCCGTTTCCAAAGTTAATGAAACGCATCAACGGAGACTTCAAACAAAACGAGTTCGTCATATATTCTTTTGATGACGGTCATTTCATGACGCACCTGCGTGTGCACTAGGTGTTTAAGATGTCCCTGCTACCCACGCTGATTGCGGCGCATGCCAAGAGTGAGTGGAGTGTGCAACTAGATAAACTGTGAGCTGAATAATTCTTTAGGTGCATCTGGGCCAGTTCATTCTAATGAACGGTACTGAAAAAGCACGAGCTGCGTAAAATCAAGTTATCTGGGTTGAATAGACAGTCAGCTCCCCAGAAAATATTTCTTTGCAGACTCCAAGTCGGTGCTGGTCAACCTCTAACAGCACGCATGTGCGACGTACTTGCGGGAGGCCTGGCTCAAGGAGATCGGGGGCAGCAAGTACCTTATGGGCGCACGACCCCTCTCCTGGTGCAGCCACGACTTGGCTCCGAAGCATGTGGGACCAGCGGCCCGGGTGAGACAAATGGCGGTGCCTTTAAGTTCAGCATCTCGCGATGCGCATCTGAATGATTGTTTGAGGCACTTGCAAGTTGTTTGGGTTCTTACACGCCAAGGCTGGTATTCCTGTCTATTGACGCACCCATTCACCTCCATGTGGATCTGAAGCATCTTGTCTTAGTATATGTACTCCTGTCTTGGTAAGATTGAGCACATACGACCATACCCATTGGAAAACTCGGGATCCCGTCCGCTCTCCCATAGATAAGCCAATGAGGGCTGGAGTAGTAGTCGGGTCGGTGACGACCG